AGTTGGTATTTTAACGTGGACGTCTACAGGGACCGACCAGTTTCTGGAACCTCAAGTGGACATTTAAGGAACTGCAGTTTTTGGCCGTCCTGGCTGCAGCTTGTTCAGAGTTTTTCATAAATGTACGGCCTGACCTGAGTGGTGCCCGTCCTCATGGCCGGCAGCTTCCATAAAGCAGCCTCACGCGTCAACAACGCGGCTCCTGTTGATGAATATTCAGGCGGATTCAGTGAATGAACGTCAACCGATGCGTCGCTAGGAGGTCAGCTTCTCCCTCAGACGTTGACATTGGCGTCGACCTTTATTTTTTTTTAGCAATTTTCTGCATAAAACATCGGAACGCAGAACCTTTCATGCATCATAATGTATTTAAACACTTTAAAAGCTCGCAGCCCTGAACACTTACTCTCCTAATGAAAACTGATGGATTCTGACAATAAAATGAAGGGCGTCGCACTTATTTTTCTGCTCCCGTTCTTGGCGATTCGCGAGCGGCGCCGCGGCGTGTTACCGCCACCTACTGTTCCGACGGCACACAAACAAAGGACAGAGACGGAGGCGAAACCGCCGGACACAAAAAAAAAAAAAGCCACATAAATAAATAAGCAGGGAGCCGCAAACAGGAGTCGCAGCAGCAGCAGGAAACAAACCAAACAGTCGGCAAATTCTGCGAAGATTTAAACCGGTTGTGTCAACAGCTCGAAAGCAGCCCAGGAGACAGACACACAAACAGCCGGCCCGGTGGTCTGCGGTCCAGCTATAAAAACCCATTAGTAATCACTCCTCGACTCTCAGTGGCTCTTTTCGCCCAAACGACTTCCATCCAGCCAATCTGCATAAATCTGCATTAATGGACGATTTTCCCTCCATAGAAAACAAATGTGCTTTTAAAAAAAAAAAAAAAAAAGCCTCCTTATCTGGCGGCTTTTAGAGGAAGCGTCAGACACACAACCGCAGCTTCTGTTAACGGCATTTATCAGGACGTCTACCGCAATGAGAAGCTGAACACGTAGCCTGATGGTGGCGCTAGAGGGCAACAGCATCGTCT